ATTTTGTGGGCAAGGTAAAGTTAATTGGGGAAGATTCTGTTGGGGAGGTTAATTTTTCTATGAATTAAGCCACAAAACAGTAGAATAGAATAGAAATTGATGATCTACGCAGCCTTCTGCTTCCCAGGTAGGTGTTACATTCTGCTCCCAGAACATCTGCCCAGGTCTTCTGATATAACTTAAAAATAGGGGTTATATTCAGATTTAATATAAATTCAATGCTACTTTTCACTTAAACAAATAATATTTCCCTCAAACTAACGTGTAAGACTAAAGCTGTACTGAGATAGCTCAATCAATATTTTCTTTATTGCCCAAAAAGTAAAAAAAATTCTGCCACAGAACCTAAAGACTTGGAGGTAGAGCTGAAACACAAGTCAGAAAAAGAAAAGGAACCAATATCCCTTTGCAGACAGTAACATGAATTAATGGGCCTACTGATCTAGCTCTAGCATGCCTTCTATCACAACTGCAAAAATAAGGAACATGACTCTATCCTTCCACTTTAAACCTCATCTTCAAGCTAGATTTAAAAGTTTGAAATGGAGAATGAAGTTAGGAGAAAGTGACTCTTAAAAAAGCTAAGAGTGATGTTTGGGGTTAATGTCTGAAGTACACCAAAGAGACAATCTTTTTTCCAGACCTCTTATCATTTGGATTAAAAGCATAGAGAGTGGGGTCCCAGTAACAAGGCTGGGGACCAGCTGTGTGGGAATGGGGCACTGACAGCAACCTACACCAGAAGGAAATGATTAAAGAAAGGATCTTGACCTGCACTGTACAAATTTATGCCAGTAAATCCCAGACGGCTAAGCTAATAAAACTGAGGTCTAATTAAACCACATCCCTTGCATCTTGTCTTTGCTTCCATATGAGCAGGACATGGATACAATACTGAGACTACTCTTAAGAGTCACGACTATTGTATCAACTGGATTAGTGGCTCACAAACTTTCCCTATCTGCATTCAGAACAAGAAAAACAAGCAAGTTAAACACATATCACCTCCTAACTTCTCAGGATCACTTGCCCTCTGTCTGGCAAAATAAAAAAAAGCTTCTCAGCTAATCATTCGCAACCACAGATGTACCAATGGACAAGATACACAGACTCCCAAGCAGAGAAGTAAAGAATAAAACATTAATGTGCAGTACTCATCTTATTTTACAATGCTTAAGAACGAATAGGATTATATGTTATGCCCTTTCCTTTGTCTCATTTCTTATAGGAAGGCAAACGTGCAAATACCAAATACCTGTTTCACAAATGCATTCTGGGATGGCTTTAAAAATGTTTTTGGAAAGTACCATCAGCTATTAAGTTATTTGAAGCTACCTGCTTACTAAATGATTTTATTTAGAATTAATGTTTTACCTTGAGCACTGTGTCTAACAGACATCAAACCAAAAGGTTATGGTTTTGGACATCTTTACATTATGAACAGTCAAGATGAATACAAATAACTTTTGTACTTAATGTGTTAAGTCTAATAATCCACAGGCCAAGTTTCTCCCTTAAGGCAGAATTAGATATTCCTGAAAGAATTTCCCAAATGATCTCTAATTAAAGATGGAAAAAACCACTGCAGCCATGTTCCAATGATCATTTCAAGGAGTACCGTGCATACGAACTCAGCTCTGTTATGTAGCTCATGTGCTGTTAGACAGAAACTACACTGAAGCTGCAAAGGCAGCTTTGAAGTATTACTGGATTTCTTGTGGGTAGAGGACTCAAGATAACAAGTATCTCCCTTCCTTATCGCTGACGGATCAAGGATTTACTGTGGTTGCTTTGCTACTTGGAAACTACGGGTACTTCAATCACAAGAACCCTCTCAACCATGTAGCACAATAAAGAATGTTTTCCTCAAGGTTGAAAGTAACCTAATTTTGTTAACATCAGGCCGATATCAAATGGTGCTACAGCAAAAAGACTTGTGGGAGCACAGTTATTATGCCCTTTCGGCACCACACAGTTGCTAAAGAATGTCAACAGACTGTCTTTGGGTAGTTACATAACTAGATGACAGCCAACTGTATTCTTACAAAACAAAAGAAAAAGCTGCCAATTGTACCAAAATTCAAAGTCAAAAGATATAATGATGAACTAAGATGACCTTATTGGTCACCCAAATTTCCAGTTTTTCCTCCAGTATTCCAGTATTGACAGTTTCTTCTCTGCTGATGCAAAGAAGATTAAAAATTAGAACCTATAAATCTATTTTTGCAATAAAACAATTAGTGCAGACTGTTCTAGACAGTAGGTACAAGAAAGTAAGCTAATGAAAGTCTCCTAAATAGAATATGTATGTATTACCTATGGTTACAGTTAAACCTGGAGAAGATCCTTAAAGTTCTGGCTCTGGTTCACTCAGCATAAAAAAATACATACCTTGGAAAACATGGGGATTAACAGTCTTCCATAAAGTATTCTAGTGGAAAAATACACACACTATTCTACATATGTACTGGTGGACACTTGTCAATTTATTTCCTAGTTTCTTCAGTCAAACACAGTAACTCTTAAATACTAATGTATCTTTTATCAGGTTTCAAACAAGAAATGGACTGTAAAGGAAATAATTCCAGAACTTCAAACATGAACTCACAGATAGTAACTTAGGTCAAATATTATGGATTGTATACATGTACTTTCATAAATATAAATAAGGATCTGCACTACTTTTAAAGGAATTTTTAGATGAATTTGAAGTGCATCTTTAAAACTTCTTAAAAAATCTTAGAGAAATATGATAGTTGACAATGAATTTAGATGTTATCTTCAGTTTCTGCCTGCTATACTTAAAGAACAGTGTTTATCTATAGAAAATGAAACATGGATACTATTCAAAACAGATTATTTTCAAATAATGAAAAAATCTTTTAAATATTTTCTGAATCCACTGTAGGCGCAGACTGAGAAATTATTTATGATAACAACTTCTTTAACCTATTTAAACTATATAAAGGAAATTCTGAATAGGGGAGACTTATGACTTTGTGAATAATTTAATAGCAAACATTATGATGTATTATTTATGTAGCACAACTGATGCACAAAAGAATGCTCACACATAATAACGGGGTCCCTCCCTTGAAAGGCAGTTAAAGAACTGACCACAGACTTCTCATCCAAGTAGAACTTTTGTAAGGAAGGTGGATCATGAAGTATCAGACCCTTAATGCAACTAAAGGTAATAGTCTGAAACTGAAACACTCAAAAGGGGGAAAATACATGCAAAGTTATATAGTTTTGCATGCATTTTTGCAAAAGTGAAGGAAGAGGAGAAAGAAAAGAGGTTAAACTAATAGAGGCTTTATTGTGAACACATTCTGCAGGCATGTTTGTCTGACTTTGCTTCACTGCATAGCTATTCCTTCAAAAATTTGCTAATCTGCCCTTACAGGCCCAATATTTTTCTACTATTTGTAGACTTCAAATTATTAATGAGTATTAGTGAACATTAAACTGCTTGCTATGAACGTATATCTAAATTTTCGTAAGAATCACATTGAAGAACGAATAAGATGATTAAAATTTGATGACTTGAACTTCAGTTGAATCTGTAGGAGCTGGAAATGAATTCTCTAAAATGGTAATTATGAGCTTTTTGTTTATTTATGAAAAAATCATAACTTCTTATCATACCAATCTCCCTGCTTAGAATGGATACATGGATACATGGCTGTTTGGTAAAATATTTTATGAGTTAGTTTCACTAAACAGAAGAAATGAATAAAGCACATATTCCTTAACAGAAGAATTAATTTCCACAGCTACATATAAACATTATGACATAGCTCTTCTCATGTTTCCACCATGGAGATTTCCATTTTTCACAATACCTTTGCGCCATATCAACATTTGATCTTTATTCTTTGAATCCAGTTGCCCTCTTCTCTTTGCTATCACTGGGCCTGAATCAATTTATTATAGTTCTACCCTATTTTTGCATTGTTAAAACAAAAAAACAAACAAATTGATTTTGGGAATAAAATTGCCTAATTAATGATCTGAAGTGTAAAAATGTGGGTGCGTTAAAAACTCTCAAAACTTGTACTACATATAAATTAAAGAAGCAAATTGGTAGAGACAATCACTTTTTATTGTCTGTCTGAAAACATGAGATCTGTTTTTATTTCCATGTGCCTAAATAATCAATGCAAAGAAAATAAAGACCAATGTGAGGGTGAGATGGAGGAAAAAACCACAGTAACTGGCCACCAGCCTGATCCATAACTTGTGGAAGTTAAGGAGACAATTCTGCTGACTCAGGTTTGAATCAGGGCCATAAGTCTTTTGTTGTTTGTTTTTTTTAAGACATTATTAGTCCAGCATATAAGTTAACTGACTACAAGTACTTCTAGAAATGTTCCTATGAAAATAGGAAGATTTTAAAGTGACATTTCCAAATGTAGCTACCATAAGTAAAGGACTGAGAGAAAGACTGCCTTAAGCAGTAAGTCTCAACAGTAAAAAGCCTCATTATAAATGGCTGCACTGTAGGATTTGCTTTTCAAAGTCCACACGTGTGACAGATTTTTCAGATCTGCAGTGTTGTGCACACATGTATCAGGAGACTAGAACAAACCTTGAAATTAAAAAAGGAAAAACATGTGCAAACAAACTACAGATGTGAAACTTTGTTATTACATGACAACACTAAACTTTTTCATATACTACTTTTATAACCCTTTAACATGTAGAGAAGTTATACTAAGGAAGTCCCATGATTTTAAGTATTAGAAAACTTGCTTGATAAATCTGCACTTTTGTTTAACCCCTACTACTGTGGATTCTCATAACAAGGACTTCAAAGGCAAACAAGTTATCATGACTGTTATAAATAAATACAAGAAAAAAAAAGGAAAGAACAGTCTTTTTGTCTACAGGTAATATTATTGCCCACTGATGAACAGAAAAGGAGTATGGAGGTGCTATAGTACAGCAATTATTAGGGGTACCGATATAAACCCCTGTTTTTAATAAATGTGAATTACCCCTTCCTCTGCGTGCTCCAGCCTGCCAGCAGCCTCACTCACTTTTCTGAGACCAGTGTTAACAAAAGATGGAACACAGCTGTGTGGACAAGGCCTATGGCCTTGAATCTGGAGCTGCTGGTCAGTTGAAAGCAGTTTGCTGCAGAGGCTCTCGTTTTGTCTCTCAAGCCCATGAACTCCTGCAAATGCCGAATTCTCTCTTCCAGCTCCAGGCCTGACCCGGCCACTTGAGGTCGCCACCAACCTGTTCAGACTTTTTTTTACCATTAACAAGCTGTGTTAACTTGGTGGTCATTCCGGGGAAAATAATAAAAAAAAGATGAAAAAGAATGTGAAAAGTCAGCATAAAAAGCATTCTGTTGAAAGGAACATAATCACTGTGAAGACTTCAGCATAGAACCTGAATAATAAATTTCAGGTTTTGATATAACTATTACTGCCTGTGAAGAACTCTTTGAAGATAATTGAAACCACTGTGCAGCAATCTGCTTTATAGCACTGACAAATAACAGTTTCCTAAGGCTTATCATTTAAGGTTAGTAAAGGGAGGACACATATTTACTCCATATGCTGCTTAAATGTAATTTTTAACGCATGACCTTATATAGGAACCTCCGCATGCTGTTAAGCAAAGTTACAGATTTGGGATGTGGTGGGGCAAACTATAAAAGATACAATTTCACAAAACATTCAACTATTCAAAGAATGCTAATAATATACAACATTCCAATGATACATAATTTCTACTAATTTAGGATTTAAATTTATGTCTCATTTCTAAAGTGGCTAAAATACAGAGGTTGAAATATTTAAGCAGGTACTTTGGAAAAAGAGACTTAATAGTTCTCATTACCATACTCAATTTTATACTTGGTAAATATTACCAGTGTGCTTCAGACAAGGAACGGTTAGCTGAAGAATATAATTAGATACAGAAGGAATGGTTTTCATCTGTCCTTAAAAGAATACAAATTTTGCTCTTGGCATCTCAAGAGTTGTACCTTTGATTTCCCTTAGTTTTGATAAACATTGGTAAGCTGGAACAAAAGGCAGAGAGGGCACATGGGGGTGATGTAATATACATGAACAGAAAACATACCCAGCGGTGAAGAGAAAAAACTTGGCATATAAAGAAAGAAAAGGTGGCTTTGATGAAAGAGACAAGTTCAAGACTTTACAAAATTGGTCGCACATCTTCAAGACCTGTATCTAGTTTACAGGGAATCTATTTTTGAAGGTCCAGAAAGAAAACTGAAAATAAGGACACACCTCATTTGTTTAAAGGAGGCTTGTTTTATTTTTTGTATACTTCTGGACAGAAGCTTCTACTTAAAGAAACAAAAGTGAAACCAAAAAAATCCGTAATGACTTTAGGATGTCACAGAATGTTACTTGCCTGCGAGCAGGTTTTTTGTTTATTTGTTGGGTTTTTTTCAATGTTCTTCTATTGCAAATTCATTCCAAACTTCTAGTAACTTCTAGTTACAAGGGCTTTGGCATGAGGAACGCTGGAAAAGAAATTTAGCTTGAGGAGTTAAGATCTTTGTTTGGCAATCTAGACAAACACTGTATTTTTTATTTTCTGTGCCATAAAGTATTAATTCAGGTATTCCAATGTGGACATTCTGTGTAATGTTACCTAAGTGGATGACGAGTGCATTTGGTAAGTCATCTAACAGAAACACAGGAAATGCCATTTGGAATAAGCAAACAATTCATTTGTTCCACCATCTTGTATTTGACAACAGCCTGACAGAAAAGATGGAAGTTATGTCATGCTGGTCAATTTGTTCCTGATGCACTGAGGTAAAAGGAAAGAATTTTTCGGACTCTATAATAAAGTACAAAATGGTCCCACCTACAGAGGCAATATTTTCAGCTGCTTTTATGGATCTGTTCACTTCTGACCAGACCTTGCTTGGGTGTAGCAAGAATTTATTAAGTACAGTACAATGTGAGCACAGAGTGCTGGTGCTTTTGGATTAATTAGCCCTCCTGCAATATAGGAATACCATGAACAGTTTGGCTGAGCCCAGATTGGTTTGCCAGCACAGCACTAAGTTTAGTAATAAGCCTGAAGTTGCTTGGGTACCTTTGGGCACACAAGGTACTCTGCCCTGCATGCTACTTGGGCCTGCTTCACTGAAGTTATCTGTTACACTGAATAAAGGAGAGCTGATTATAAAGGTATTTTAGAGCTAACTAGGCAATCACAGGATCAACTAGGTTAGAAAAGACCTCTGAGATCACAGAGTCCAACCTGAGACCGATCTCCACCACGTCAAGCAGACAATGGCACTGAGTGCCATGCCCAATCTTTCCTTAAACACCTCCAGGGACGGTGACTCTACTGTCTCCCTGGGCAGCCCATTCCAACAGCTCATCACCCCTTCTGTGAAGAAATTCCTCCTAATGTCCAACCTAAACGTCCCCTGGCACAGCCCGAGACTAAAGATGCCAGTCTACTTCCTGAAGGCCGAAGAAGCACAAAATAAGGGGCAGAATCTCTCCGTATAGATCATTTTGATTGTAGAATGTAGTTCTGGACGAATCATTAGGCTTCTGTAGCCTCTTCTTCAGTTCCCAGAACACCCATTGTACTCTGACAGCACAGCTCTGAACCCAAGGTACAACTCCAAAGTGATAGCCAGTGCTGTACCTCTGTACATGGAGATCTAATACCCACAAAAAAATCCACCACAGCAAAAAAAAAGAAAATCTTACATACACAGAGATAACCAGAAATCAATAAAAAAATGAATTACGAGTGATTTTTGCTACTGCTTTAAAAAGTGCTCTGAGAAAAATCAGCATGATTTTTAATTTGTTGATAGGGCTTTAAAAGGCAAGAAATGTTACTGTAAGCTAAAATAAAAATATGAAACTTCATACCTTTTAATTTTCTCCTCTTGCTTATTTGTATGCTGCTTGAGTAAGATGTGGTCATCATGTATATGAAGAAACCTGTCCTCCAGTTCTTCTCGAATGATTTGTTGTACGGCTTGTAGAGCTTTTACACTGTGTGGCTGATGATTCTACCCAAACCAAGACAACTTTAAATTACCTTCAATATATTCGACAACATGTAGTTCAAAGCCTAAATCATTTTGAAATACTGAAAAAAGAAGAAACTTTTCAAGTAATATTTTTCACTTATATGAGTCTGTTGATTAATTTTTTCAGATTTATTGTCATGTCAATCACTTCCTCTTACAGATTAAAAAAAGCAATTAAAATGATATGGCAAACTGTTTACCTATTAGACAACATAAAGTTAACAGTTTAGCAAGTAACCAGGCTCTTTAAACCAGGTTCCTTAAAAATAAACATTACCAAAGAGATGTTTTCTAATCTGTTTCAGAGTTAACATACTGTCTTGAAGTTTGAAAAGATTAACTCATAGTTCTGCAGATTTACTCAGACACAAGATTAAGCACAGTTGTTCCATTCTAATAGCAGCTGAGTAACATATCAGAATTGCATAATACTTTTGGTTCCTATTTTGTTAAATGGATCTGGCCTTGTCCTCTATTCAGCAAAAAAGTCCTTTTTTTCTTCTGGAAGGATGAATGTTATAGCTCAATGACATTTCCAGTTTTTAGCATCTCACAGCAAGTCCCCTCTTATAACAAGCAACTTGAACATAGAATGGGTCACAGCATCTTTCAGAATTTAACCCAGATTTTGAATGGTATTTGAACTTAATTTTGTGAGTGGCAACATCAGAAACATTTTTAGAAAGGAACTAAAGAAGCCACTGATCAAAGTCTGTAACTGTAATAAATAGCAGCTGGTACAAACCTTGTAATCCTTCAATTCCAGATGGAGTTAGACCCGTATCTCTCACAGGCAGGTCCCCCACAGTTTCATCAGCTGAAACAGGCATGGCTTATCTATGGATAACAAAATTCAAATGAAATTCTTCTCCATCTGTTATTTAAACTGTGAGACTAGAATGAACTACAGTACCTCATACAAAATGAAAGAAAAAGTTATGGTAGATCCACTGAAATGACAGACTTGTACATTACCGTAAATGCTCCTATCTCAATTGGATTGCTCAGAAGACAATCTGAACTTTCAAGTTTAATTTTATGCCAATTTTAATCTGCTCACAAAATCTGGCTATTTTGGTTATGCAATAGTTTCAATTGTATTTAATGGATGTAGAATTAGCTTTTTAAAGTTCTAGTTCTGCTGTCTTCAGCAATCTTTGGGCTAAGCCCATATTTTCAAGTGGATGTGGGAAGGGGACCTGTGGGGTTTTTTTGTTTGGTTTTTTTTAATTGTTTGTTCATTTTAAGACAGGTCAAAGCTTGAGGCATCAGCTGGTAGATGAGTAATGCCATCTTCCACATTTTGAATAGGACTCTTTGAAACAGAGGCGCTGGGGGTTATGAAGTCATTTCAGTGTTGCCTGGCATTCTCTTAGTCTTCTTTCAATCATTGTCATAAGAGAAATTAGTTTGTAAGATAGAGACTTTCCTATGAATGATTCTCATAAATCTGAACATATTTCTTTCTTGAGGCAACAGAAAGCTTAGCTACATGACAAAGTGAGGTTAGGAAAGTATTAATGTGAGAAAGTACTACATTTGTTTCGGTGTAATATATGAACATACTTGTTAACAACCGCTGTTTCTTTCTTGTTTTCTGGTGCAGAAAATTACATGTTGGTCACAGAGTCAAGTAATGCTGAAATAGCAGGAAAAGGAGAGACATGAAGTCTTTTGGACAATCTTCCTCACTCCCTATTTTTACACTTTTCAGGTGATATAACTCCTTAGTGAATCCAAAAACACCTAGGAAAGCATTGGGAAATTAACAGTGATGCTACTAAAGACTTGCATCAGAGAACAGAAGTGACAAAGTATAATTCACAGACTTTCCATGAAGTATCTGTTAATTTTACCATAATCAAAACTGCTGCTAAAGCTATGCCTTTCTTCTACCAGGAAAATCTTCCATCACAAACAAGTCTCCTTATGGTTTTGTCCAAAAAGAACAAAAAGAATTAGTGAAAGTTTAGTTTCCAAGAAGTCAGTCTTCCTTTGGTTTTTTCATCACTAATATCTATAATAAAGTATTATTTCCAGCTTTCACTATTTATAAAAACAGAAACACATTTTTCTTTCATGTGGAACAAACATTTCCTTGTCATGACCATTGAAAAGAACTGATCTACACTTTTAGATTAGCAATAAGGCTGCAGTTTCAATGCTCTCAGTCACAGAAACAGAGAACACTCTGATGCTGATGTCCATGGCATGCAGCCACTGCAAGCAGTGGTACCAGTGGCAAATACCAACTGGAATCCAGCTGGTCAGTGCCCTCAGCTCTTTATGTATTATTCTCAAAATTCTTTTGTCATTTGTTAAATTAGCTCTGTCTGCAGTCATTGACTTCACTCAGGTCCAGGTTCATTACTGGGGTCACTATTACATGTCACTGTATCAGTATCACTACTGCAACTGAGATGAAAGAGAAGTAGAAACCTTTACCTCCCAATGATCATCCAAATTTGGTTCATGATGGTAGCAAGGAGATGTTACCATCATATGTCTTTCTAGAATGTGGTTGCCTCTGCTTTCACAAATCAAAAATTATAGGGGTTTTTCTGGTAAGTTTCAGAGACATCACAAGAGCTAAACAAATATTTTATCAGCACGACTCCACAATGTTTGTAATCTATCAAAATGAAGCTTCACAAACTCTAGCACAGTAACAAGCACAGGCAAACATTACTGTTTTCACTACTTGCTACTTGGTAAAGAAACTTTGCTATAAATATCTACCTGTTATATTCAGTATGAAAGAAATCTATTCATCTAAAAACAGAGACAAAACAACACATGCTTGTCCCTCAAATAAACAAATAAACTCTTGTCGGTAGTAATCCATTACTGGCTGCAGCAAAACCACAGAAACACTTAAGTTGTAAACAAACTAACATAGCAGAGCTGCACAGCAAGCCAGTTTTTACTGGCAATATGGTACGGCTTAAAGTGACAAAATAAAGCTGCTATAAATCCTGAAAACTTAGAAAGGAAAAATTTTCAAAAGTAAAAGGAAGAATTAATTGTTTAGTTTCCATTACAAAGTGACATAAATTAAGTATTCAGCTTTCTTTTCTGTCCTAGGCCACAGGAAAAGAAAAAAAAACCCAAAACATTATTTGTTTTTATCAAAAGAAGTGCTTTTAGATAGAAATAGTACAAACCTGTCTCCCGGTTTTAGGGAGGCAAAAGATAATTACAGATTTAGAATTTGGCCTGGCACTGTATTTGCCTGATTAGTAACATAAGAATACCTATGTCCTCAATAATCACTAACAACTACCATTTATGCTCCTTCTTTGAGAGAGGACACTTGAAACAGCAAAGCATGTGCTACATATGCTACAGTTCCTCTTTGAATATTATCTCAGTGTCAATCACAAACACTTAAACAAAATTACTTTTCCCTGCAGTCCAGTTCCAGCATTATTCCCGAAAGCATGAGATTTGGCCACAGAATTCAGTATTACTTTTGAAAGCATTTCCACAGTGATTACACATGACAAAACTGTACAGCAACACTGCCACAAAAGTGATGGTACTTAAGAGTCCAGCATTTCCTGAAAGAAAGCATAGCAAAGCAAGAGAGGTATAAATTTATATTTGCTTCTGGACAGATCACATGCCATGATCAACCTCAAACACTTAAAACAGCTTTTATTTCCAAGAAAGGTTACCCTACAGTTACTTCAGCATGTCTTGTTCCTCAAAAATAAAACAACTTCACCTACAAAGAGAGGAAAATTGTCTGTATCTCTGGGATTAATCTACAAGAACTTCAAATTAGGTATAAATAAGAAGCTTAGATACAATTACTGAAGTCAAAGAAATCGTAACTTTCTTATACACTGTGTAAGTTACAAATGTCAGTTACAAACGTGTTCTACACTACCTGTATCTGACAATTTACCACAAAAAAACTGCACACAACTTTGCAGTGTTATGCAAGGTTAGACAGTAATGAGATGGATATTGAAAATTAAGTATCAAAGCTCATACTTTAGGTTCAAATTGTCTCACAGAAGCATACTGTTGTCCCAAAATCATTCAAAAGCAGCAAAACTAAGGAGGGATTACCTAAATTTTCAAGAGTTCTCAGCCAGTGGGGATAGAAGGGACTTCTAGTGAAGGGATTTCTAGTGAAATATTAAAAATGATGGCTTAATTGTTTCAATATGGTTTTTGAATTTCACAGGTCTCAGACATGCTTTTCTTACAAAAATCCTACTCCACTTTTCTGGTAGAGGAAAGATAAAAAAAAGGTGGATAGAGAGACTTCTCACCTATCTTAGTGTATCGCAAAGTATTTCCAGCCTATATTCTCACTCTACTGAGTCCTTAAAAGATAAATATTTGCACTCTTTTTGTCTTGTCATCTAAAATAATCTCATTTATTACTTGGTAGGAGTATACACACATATCATCTTTCAAACATTATCTGTTTGAAAGTGACTTTTGGGTGGTGGAGAGGGAAAAAAAAAAAAAGGAGAGAAGATATGGAAGGTATTAGGAAACAGGATCACAACATCCTGCTGTCGTCTGGGGGAAGAAACATCTCTCAGACCTGTAAGTCCTACTGGAACAAGGAGATATCAAAACAACCGTGTCTCGCCTTCAACGTACAAGTGCCTTCCAAAATTTGATTCTGGCAGTGACTGACAGGGCTGGGAGGGGCAGGGTCCCAGGGAAGGCAGCGCTTCCCCCACGCAGGAACGCCCCCGCTGCCCTGGATTTCCTCGGGCACAGGAGCACAACTCCCGCTCCAGCCCGGCAGCCTTTGCAGGTACAAAACAGGGGCCTGTAGGGGCCACTTTCAATCCAGCACTGAGGCTCCCCTGCCTTCCCCTACGGGCACCGAGCTGCGAGCGAGGAGCCGCGCGGGTCTGGAAGCGCCGCCGGCCCCGCTCCGCAGCTCCTGGGCTGGGAGGCTCCAGGACACGGCCCCGCAGCCCCGGGCAGCGCCAGCGCCGCCGTGCTCCCCCCGCCGTGCCCGGAGGAGGAGAAGCTCCCCCCGTACTCACGGCCCCCGCCAGCCCCTCGGCTCCTCTCCGCGCTCCGCTGGCAACTCCCGCTGTCGCCACGCGGCCCCTTCCCCTTCCGGGCCGCGCTGCTGCTGCCGGGACTTGGAGTCCGGGGCGGGGCCGGGCAGTGCCCGCGGAGCCCAGCGAGGCTCCCGCCGGGACCTGCGGTGCCCGGGACGCTGCTCCGCCCCGGGCGGGCGGCTGGGGCGGCACCATGAAGAGGAGAGCAGGGGAGCGGGAGAAAGAGCTGAAGGTACCTTCCGTTTGCTTCCCGCTCCCCGCAGCCCCGCCGAGCGTGCCCGCGGCCAGCCCCGTGCCCGCCGCCGGAGGGGCTGCTCGGGGCACAGCCCGCCGGGGCTCCGCCAGCTCCAGCGCCTGAGCCCCGAGCGGGGGCACTGCGAGGCCGCCGTGAAGTTTGCTGTGAGCAGGAAGCGGCCCCGAGCTCCGTGCGGGGTCACACAGCCCGGGGCGCGGCCCCGTGCGCTCGGCACCGCCCCGGGGCCGCCCGGGGGGAGCGCGGCCGGCGGCGGGGGCTGCCCGGGCAGGGCGGCGCTGCCCGACCTGGGCATCCTGGATCGCCCTCTGCCTTGAAAGAGGGGGCACCTAGGACAGCTTCAGCGGTAGCTAGTGGTAAAGGCTCGTGCCATCTGGGCAAGGTATTTGAATTTTAAGGAGGGTTCTGTGGTTTGTGAAAAAGAAAAAAAGTGCACAAGTTTGGTTTTGTCAAAACGTTCGCAGTGGGGTGATGCACTATGTAACCGCGCTTTTACTTTTAAATTTGAAAGTACTCTACGCCAAGCTTGACCTAAATAAACATTTTTAAGTCTCGTCTACCACCCGAGCTTTATAATGTTTGTTTTCTCGTTCATATATTTAGATGCGATGCTGTTACTTTCTTACATTGAAGATGGTATTACACTATTTGTGAAAGCAAACAGCAGTGCTGAATGTTTTGCTGTTTCACGTGCCTTTGAAGGGCTTGTTTTACCACATTGTACAATATTTACAACTCTTGATGGTTGTTGTATCTTTCCTGATTTTGTTTACAAAACAGTAGTATTGAGAAACAGTAAGTGACTGAAAGCACGATGCTGGTATTAGTGATGTTAATGAAAGGAAGGTTAATTCCATTATAAATTTAGAAAGAGCTTTCAAAAATGGTAATTGCATACACCTGAACAGGGACTGTGCTGGCTTTGGTATTGCTATTAGTTTACTATTCAGCATTAAATGTTATTTCATTTTAGGGGCAGGGAACAGGTCTGATCTAACTTTGCAACTATTTTAATTTAAAACTTTAGAGCCTGTTTGCAGTAGTAAGATTCCTAACAACTCTTTAAGGACTACCTGATCATTTTGTAATTAGTCTTTCTGCCAAGTTGCTCAAGGACAGCAACTTCAGGCTTACATTTGTATTCTGCCCTTTCCATAGATGTCAAAACATATGCAGATGTCCCATCCAATCGAATGTAAATATGTTGCAGAAAAAACCTCACCCCATACTTATTTTAACCTGTACATTTGTGCTGCCCATCTGAGGGCCTCTTTCTTTTTAGTAGGTCTCAAATGTATTTGGGAATGGTTTGCATTAGGAGACTAATTGCCCCTGATATGATAAGGATAAAGATTCAAGGATATGTGGAAGGAGTAAGAGGATGGTGCTGTGAACTACACTGGCAAAGGTTGTATGAGGACAAGGCACCTGAAAGAGGTGTCAGGAACAATGTATAATAAAAACTGCACTAGAGTGAAAGAGTCCTGCCATAGACATGTGTAGATGTTACAGGTGCATAAACAAGAGAAGGATGAAAATTAACAAGATTCTTACAGAGAATTTAGAGGTGCCAATACTTATAGGATGCCTTAGGGGGACGTTGTAAGTTGGGTACTACTTGAGAGGAGCTTTGAATATATTGGAAGTGAAACAAGATGAACATCTAGAACATCTTAGAATAAAGGCTGCCAAAGGGGAAAGCAGCAATGGGAAGGGGGGGTTGTGTGTACAGGAAGGAATGTATGCTTTTTTTCATGGGATTTTATTGTAATAGTTCTGCCAAGACTTCCATTTAGGTACTGATTAAAATATTTTGTAGCAAACCAAATATTAGTGAGGTTAACCCAACCTCTTCTGGAGAGTAAGATTTATGAGGCCTACTGATGAGAGGGAAGTGGTTGGATAGAGAAGCTGGTTTGAATTATGGATCTCCTGCCAATGTCTCTTGTTTTCTAGAATTAAATCTCAAATAAAAGTTCTTGTTTTGCTATAATTGTGTACAGTTAAATGCTGTCTATCAGAATCCCAGTGACTGGCTTTTACTAGTTATGCAGTATGTTTCATATATATGATAAGCTGTTCTGTCTCTCAAATTTTCATGTGTATAGCAAGTTTTGGTTTATGTTGTTATAGGAGAACATTTCTGTTCCAAGTACATGTGGTAGAAGTCCTTTAGAGTGCAGTGCTGTCATACAACAATTTCCTTCCAAAATACAACTTTGCAGATCACTCAGTTGGGTTAAGATTAAATGTGTGGCAGAAATGAAATTGTTTATGCTAGTATTTGGTGATCCAAGCCCAAAGGGAGGAGGATGTAAATTCATTCTTGGGAAGAGGGTCTGAAAAAACTTGGAAATCGTAACCAGGAGTTAATTACTCATCTGTCCTAAACACTGTGTTGGGGATGCAAATATCCTGTATAATATTTCTCTGAGTCTTAAGTAGAGAGCGAAACACAATTACCCTGAAGTTTCTAAAGACATCTTTAGAGCTGTTGCATGCCATCCACTTCTCTGGTCTTCCCCACAGCAAATATTACTTCTGTGTATAAAACCAGACCTGTTAGAGTAGGTGTTTCTCATTAGCTGGAAAGGCATTTTTATGAAATAGTCCATTGGGCTTTGTTCATGGTTGTTTGTTTTAACTTAGATTCAGCTTTAATTAACACAGTTTATAATTATTTTTATTCTTTTTTTCTATACACTGTTAGTCAGAGTTGGTCACTTTTTTACTGGGTGTAGAAAAGGTACCACAAAACTAAGACCAAACATAAACCTCCCATTTAGTAATTTAAGTACTATATTAAAGACTATTTTCTCCTTTAGACTTGGGAAGAAAGCTGTTTTGCTTTTAGGATGTTTTATTACCTTGATTGATATTCACAGGCGAGTTAAAAAAGTTAATCTTTAATGTAAGACTGTTCTCAAGACTTACTTGGCCAAAGTGGTTTTTTTAAAGTAAGTTTCATTGTGACAGAGGGCAAACTGTGCTGACTTCCTATATGTGCTTCCTTTTGCCACTCTTTGCATATTAAGACCCTGAGTCGTTGCCATTTGAAAGAGAAGACACTCAATTAGTCTGGAGTATCATTTTCTGTCAAAGTAAAAGTATTACCTTGATGGGTCCTTGGAATAGGCCACTAAGCCCAGTTCACAATTACCTTATGTAACTGTTTATGCTAATTCACAGTGGAACCAGAACTGACTACAGAGAATGTATTTCACAGACATTACTGTTATGTTTGTACAGCTCCCAACACAGCTGGGACCCCAATCCAATAAAGTTATTGCTGTACAAATAATAAATGCATCAATATGCACATATCTGAATATTCACAAGGGCTTTTACAAAGTTATTCATGTGCAGTTTCACATTTGTGAGACGTGTTAGACAAAGTGGCAAGGAAATATAAAGCTTTAAATAACACAAAGCTTTGTATGTATTTTATTTACAGGGACGAAAAGGGAATATACAGTCTTTTGGCTGAAATATCAAGGAAAGTCTTATTTTCTGCATCATTCTAATTTTTGCTACCTGAAAAATAATATATATATTTACAAGAAAAAGTAGGTTGCTTCAACATATTATGCTCAGGGAAAATTAGGCAAGTATTATCAGAGCGTGATGAAGGGAATGATTTTAGGATTAATGCTGGAAAATGTCACCCATACCATACAATTAAGTATATAAACTTTAACGTTCTCTTATAATAGTTTATTCAAATATTATGTTGATTTCTTGTTTCATTTTATCGTTCTACCTCTTAAAGAGACCCAAACAAAAAAAAAAAATTCTAATTGACAGATTAAATAGGTTCTTTTAGAAGTTGTATTTAGGAAAATTAAAGTTAATGGAACATCTTAGATACAGTTAAATAAGCTTCTTGTCATGTCATATTTCTGCTTAGGTAAATGGTGTGCAGGTTTTAGCAGAATCAGCAGCCAATATGCCAGTAGCAATTTTTGTGGTAATCACATTATTGGCCCTTCCCATTATAAATGAGACAATAATTAAGAAATACTGTTGATAGTCACATAACACATGATTTGTATATTGGAAATGGTCAGGTAGAAGCCTTGCATATGCAGAATAAAATACAAGAAAGAATGAGTGGCAAATGTTTCTTGCTTTTAAATTCATCACATTCCTGCTGTTTAAATTGCCTCAGCTGCTAATGCTGGAACCATTACAGTAATGGACTTGGCAAATGAAGGAGAACCAAGACATACACACTTTATTACTGGAGGGGTAATTTTCTCTTCATCTGTAATAGCAGCAGTGCCTAGTATTGATCAGACCATCAAGATACTAATCCTCTGTAAAATTACTTGTTATAACTGAAAATGTGTTAATCCAAATCAGTCTGTGTCCTGACTTTCTACTTACTATTGAATACAGACTATTAGATGGTTTATTTTTTGTGATTTAAAGCCTTTACATTGATAATAGTGGAGCTTCTTTTGCAAGAGTGCGTGCTTAATCTTAGCT